TATACCTAATTTGCTCTTGCCAACCTTTTTGCTTTTGTCATAGCACGTGAGCTTTTAGTCTGCTTGATGATAGCAGCAATTAATCGCAGAAGGTGTGACCCCCTGCCCATTTACTCCCTCCTCCTCCCTATCGAAGGGCCCAGACATACATTCCAGGCAGACTCTGGAAGCTGAGGAAATTTGATATGTCCACAGTGATTCTTACCAGCATTTATTGATGCATCATTAAAAGCATACTATCCAGATGCATCACAGTTTGGTATGGCAACTGCTCTGTCAAGATCCCAAGAAATTAGAGTTGTGAACACAGCCCAGTCCATCCCGGAAACCAGCCTTCCTTTCGTTGATTCTGTCTACACTTCGCACTGCCCTGGGAAAGCAGACAGCATCATCAAAGTTTGAAAACATGTGCCAACAGATTTAAAAACAGAAACCGAAGGAACTGCTGTAAATCAGAAAGAAAAACAGAAATTGCTGGAAAAGTTCAGCAGGTCTGGCAGCATCTGTTAAGAGAAATCAGAGTTAGCACTTCAGATCCAGTGACCCTTCCTCAGAATGACCTCACCAGGCCTAAAACAACTTTGCTTTCTCTCTCCAGAACTGGTGAGCTTTTCCAGATTTAAAAACAGCTTCTTCCCTACTATTAATAGACTAATGAGCAAATCTTTCATATATTAGAGTTGATCTTTCTCTGTAGCTATAACACTGTATTCTGCATTCTGTTTTATTACTCTGATGTATTTATGTAAGGTATCTTGTTCTGCATGCTAACCAGACAATACTTTTCACTGTATCTCGGTATATATGACAATAATAAATCAGGTCAAATCAAAAAGCAGCAATTTACCTGCACTTCACTTCATCTAGTCAACTCTATTTGCTGCTCACAATGTGGTCACCTGTACGTTGGGGAGATGAAGTGCAGATTGGGTGAATACTTTGTAGAAAACCTACATTCTATATGCAAAAGTGACCCTGAACTTCTGGTTGCCTGCCACTTCAACACACTACCATATTCGCTGGCCAATATCTCTGTCTTGGGCTGGCTACAGTGCTCCAATGAGGTTCAATGCAAGCTGGAAGAACAACACCTCATTTTCTGCTTGGGAACCCTGCAACCTACTAGAGTCATCATTGAGTTCAATAATTTTAGGGTCTGAGCGCCTTCTCCCATGTCCTTACCCCAACCCTCACACACTAGGCCTTGGCATCTCATGAGCTGCTACCACAAACAACCCATTGTCAGCCACTAACAGCTACTCATTCTCCCAGGCTGATCTTTACTCATTCCTTTGTCTGCCCAACTGTTGTTCTCTCTCTCTGGGCTCCAACTCCACTTATCATTTATTCTTTTCCCCTCCCCACACCCATTCTCTAGCACATATATCAATCTATTCCTTGTTGTAATCAGTTCTTAAGAAGGGTCATTGGACCCAAAACATTAACTCTACTTTCTCTCCATAGATTCTGCCAGACCTGCTGAGTTTTCCTAGTAAATCCTGATTTTTGTTTCTGATTTCCAGCATCCGCACTTCTTTGGTCTTTTGCAGCAATGAATTAGTTAATTTCTTGTATGTGCTTGAAACTATGCTGAGAATCCTCTTCTAATTACTGAAATGTTAGAAACTTTCAGCAGGTCTGGCTGCAGTCTACGGATAGAGAAAAAGGTGCTTTTTCTGAAGAAGGGTCTAGGCCCGAAACGTCAGCCTTCCTGCTCCTGTGATGCTGCTTGGCCTGCAGTGTTCATCCAGCTCTACACCTTGTTATCTCACATTTACAATTTACATGGCTTTTAAACAACAAATTTTGTTTTTCTATTCTATGCAAAACGCATTTTTTGACTGTGGACTTAAAGCGGGAAAAAGATTCTGCTTTAAAGCAAAGGAGCTATACAAGATGATATGATATTTGCAGTTCTAAAACATTATCAGAGCACATTATGAATTTTATATATAAAATGTTGCCTTTTTTGAGCAGAGAGGGAGAATTCCAGACAAATGTGTGACCAGTTGTGGGATCAGAAGAGCTCAGCATAGGAACAATCTCCTGATTGGTTCCTGGGCAGGTCACACAGAACCGTGACTGGACAATAGAGCAGAAACATCTAGCCTGCAAAGAGAAAGCATCCATCTCTCTTTGTCTCTCTTCTATGTGTAAAGTAAAGCAGCTAGCTATTCTCCCTCACCTTTCCTCAGTGAGATATTCTCTCTGAAAATCCCCCATTGAAAGGAAAAATTATCTTCAGAGACATTGAAAGGGCAAATCCTCAACCAATGAATGAAAACTGAAAATCAGTGTGCCCACAACCTCATATCATCAGCAAAGAGTCAGAAGGACTCTAAAGATATTAAAGGAAAAAAAATTCATCAACGTCCATGATGGAGACTGGTGCAACAACTGTGCTTCTCTGGTTCTTTTTCCTTCCCCACCCATAATATTTCTTTCTTGACTCGTCTCTTTGTGTGAATTTTTGTAAGTATGGGACTTTTTTAAAAGGTGTAGAGTTTAAGCTATAGAGTTAGAAGTTCATAATTCATGTTTCTATTGTTGAACTTATTTGAAAAATAGTTAGCAATAAGTAATTATGTACTTATCAATGGAAATAACATGGTGTGCATATTGTTTTAACCCAAATCAGTTGAATTGGGTAATTAGATGGTTTAACCAAATGACTTTACTAGCAGTGAGACTTGATTTACAATGCACTACCTATGGTGAGTTGTGATACTACTTACGGCTAAACTAAATAGCTTCACACTTTCCATATTGTACTTCAGCTGCTATTTTGTTACCCAGTCACATGACTTGTATATTATCACTCTACAGCTTCCTCCTCCCAGCTTACATTTCTGCTTTGTATAATTGGCAAACTTAAACGTATTATTCTCATTCTCTCCCTCTCTCTCATTCTCTCTCTTTGCCTCAGTCATTGACATTGGTTTTAAATAACTGATGGCCCTGCACTGATCCTTGTGGCACTCCACTAGTCCTGTCAATCTAAAAATGTCTCATTTATCCATTTTGCTTTACTTCCTGTCTATTAATCAATTTTTTATCTGTGCTAATATACAGAACTCCATACATCTTTAAGCTGTGTATTAACCCTCTGTGTCATCTTACGAAATGCTATTTGGAAATCCATGTATATAATCCAAGTATATTACATCTATGTTTTGGTCACAGTCCTTCAGAACTGGTTGCAATTGCCCAGGAATCCAAAACTCTCCCTCCTGTACCATCAATCCAGCTATGCATGTATCTGCTTTATTCTCCTATTTCCATACACCCATTAGCACATACCAGGCGTAATCGGGTGATTACTACTTTTTGAGATCTTCTTTGCTGATCGTTTCCCCAACTCTCTAACATTTACCTGCAAAAGTTCATGTTTCTTTCTGCCAATTGCTCGTGCAAGAATATCGGGACATGACTGGAGTGTAGACTGGGTAGACAGGAAAGAACCTTTCCCTTTGGTGGAAGGATCAATGACCAAAGCGCATAGTTTTAAGGTAAAGTGCAGAAGGTTTGGAGGAGTTGTGAGGAATCACCCAGAGGGTGGTTAGAATCTGGAACTCACTGCCTGTAAGGATGGTAGAGAAACAAATACTCATAACATGTTAAGAAGTTTCAGATGGGCGTCCGAGGCTATAGCCAAGTGTTGGAAAATGGAATTAGAATAGTTAGGTGGTTGTTTTTGACCAGTGCAGACTTGATGAGCTGAATGGCCCTTTTTCTGTACTGTAAACCTCAAGACCTAGGAACAGGATGAACGTTGAGCTGGATCAGGCAGTTTCAAATTAATCGCATGTTTAAATTAGACTGTGGTGACTTTGTATGTTTTGGAAATCTTCATTGTCCCGTTTGGAGTTTTTGCAGACTTGGATGCTCCACCATTCCCTTAGTCTACGGGAATGATTCAACTTTCAGATGAACATCACTAATTGTTTGTGGTGCACTGCTGAGTTTTAGGGTCATGTCCAATGTAAAAATAAAAAGCAAATAAAAATGAAAGCTAACACACACAAGTCTTCCAACGCTGACATCAATGAATTTTACTCTGTTACAGTGGTTATTACAATCATTTTGTATAAATAGTTTTGTATTGTGTTTGGTGAAAGCTTTGGGGACAATGTGTGAACAGTTTAGAGGGCCTATCATTTTTAATTCAAAAAGTCGTGTAACATTTTTTTAAGGCGTGAGAATGTTGAAAACCCATTTCGTGCCTGGGGAAAATAATCTTAAATTGAGATTATTACAAGACACATTAGGGCTCAACAAGTTATGGCCACATTGGAAGGATGTCAAATTTCTAAAGTAGGGTAAAAAGTTGCTTATACTCGCGTATCCCTAATTTCCCGCAACCTCAATGTTAGCAGTGATGCCTTTAACTGTCGAATTATTACAACATGCAATAACCTTCACTGATGTGGGCATTGCCCTTAGGTGGCACAGAAATGAGCATGTTTAAGTTTGGAGATCCCCAAGTAAGGAAGAAACAAATGAAATGCACAGGAAAGGTTTGAAAAGTGAGCTAATAATTCACTTCATTTTTTATGTGATGAATGTATGTTGAATAATTCAGGTAAAAGCTGAGGATCTGAACCGGTACTATTTTCCAATTGTCCTCAGCTCAAAAAGAAATGTATCTAGGATATCCTCTGGGACAGCAGCAAACTAACAAGACCTGAAGAACAGTAGGGCAGTCAGTAATTTATAAAAGCTGCCTTAACCTGATGAACCGCAGAAGCTCATTTAGCCTCCTACTGCAATACCTTTCAAACCCACAACCATTTCTCTCCAGAAGGTCAAAGGCACAAATACATGGGAATACCACCACTTGCAAGTTCCCCTCCAAGACACAGATCATCTTTATTTGTAAATATGTTGCTGTTCCTTCAGTGACACTAGGTCAAAATCCTGGAAACCCCCCTCCCTCACAGCACTGTTGGTCTATCTGTGCTAAACAGACTGCAGCACTCACTGGCTTGCTTCTCTTACAGGAAAGTGGTGGACAACTGGAGGCAGCAGGGGCTAACCAGAGGTGAGCTGAATGTCTTCCGTAAATTATGGGATTTAAATGTGTCAGTTTTAATGGTATTTGGAGTGAGTTTGGGTCTGGACTTTGAGTTAGTAACTGGTGGATTTTTCTGTGTGTCTGAACTAAACAGATAACTATGTATGTATTTCTGTAACAATTCTGAGAAACTTTTAGTTTCACTGTTAACTTTGAGTAGTCCTGTGAAGATCTTGGAAAAGAATGATTGTACAGAACAGTGACTCCTCAGAAGAGAAAGATACAATGAGTTAGATCCTAAGAGTGAAGAGTTAGTGTTATTTTCCAGATAAAGACCTGGAAATAGTAATTTCAGATAATTATAGTGAAGCTCAAGTGTATGGTAGCTTCAGGAAGAAGTTACCACAATTCCAGTTAAATAACCAAGTCCCAAGTTACTTAAATGAACTGGGATACAGAGATATTGAGTACTACATGAGTGGCATTTTGGGCACTGCGCAAAAGCCATACATTTTCTTTCATTTTCAAGGGAGTATTGTGAAATTAATGGAATAATATTTTTTACTGTGTTTAAAAATTTTTTGAAATTATATTAGATGTAAATAATTAGGATTATTTCTATATTTTCATTTCTTTTAGAATAATCTTCCATTTTGTTGTTAATTACTTTATGTTGCCTTGTGTTATGATGTTCCAGCAAGCAACCATTCCATTGATACCAAAAGAAATGAAATTGATCTTTCAAGCTGGATTCCTGTCTGGGATCTGACATGTTTGGTAATATCAGCTGGGATCATAATCACTTCCCCCATGCCCCCCCACTGAAGGAGCTGGCCTAGCCATTAATATGAAAGCATTACTGAGTTTGTGGCCAACTCAGTAGGCATCAAGATATTGAAGGTGACAGTATTTTCATACCCAGCCTGCCCTCTGACATGCTACTGCCCCCTCAACTCACACAACTTACTGATGTAAAAGCTGCAGACAGTCTCAGCGCATACCCCTTTCCCTTTGTACAACTTTATCCTGCACCTTTCTTCTTTCAATGATGGGTGAATTAAGAAGTTTGAGTTAACATCAAGAAGCTTGGTGGAGTCACACTGCTTTGTACAGAGCTTGGAGCCTGTCTTTTCCAGCAAGGGAGTGGTGGCCAACTCCTTCAGCACATTTGTGGACATCAGATGGAACAGCTTCAGTTGCAACATCAGAGGAGCAGGAAAACTGACGTTTCGGGTTGGGACTCTTCTTCAGAAATGGGGGAGGGGAAGGGGACTCTGAAATAAATAGAGGGGGGGTGGTGGGTGCTGCCTGGCCTGTTGTGTTCCTCCAGCTCCACACTCGTTATCTCAGACTCTAGCATCGGCAGTTCTTACTATCTCTGAGTGAGCAACATCAGAGTGTTGCTTTGAAAGTTCAGGTTGCCGATTTACAAGGTCATTTTGCTTCTATACAAACTCAAGAGTGCTGCTGTCAGGCTTGTAGGATACAATGTGCAGAGGAGCTTGCAAGGTGTCAAAGCAGTCCAGCCACTGGGATTGCTGATGAGTCGCTTCAGAGGACTGGGTGTGCCAGTAGCTTCAGGGAGCACCAGCTGACTGTCCCATCCCAGGATAACAGATTGGAGCCATCCCCTCTCCCGCCATTCTGTCACTTTACTTGCTGACGCTTGTCACTCAGCAGAATCACTGCTGCCTCTGCCAAGATGGTGCAGTCCAAAGCAAGGCTTTCTCAGCCCAGAGCAGCTCTTTATCATTTTCCAAGGTCATCTGCTGAGAGGTAGTAATGTTCCACCAGGTTTGCTGCAATCACTGGAGTAGCATGTGCATGCAGATAGGCAAAGGGACACACAAGGCAGTAACTAAGGAAATGCAAGCGACTATTCACTTGACTTGTACACACAACACAGCATGATTTCATTTATCACTCTAGTGTACAATATTAATTTGGTGATAGTTTTCATTTTTGTTGTGATGGCCATTGATGGCAGACAGTCACCCAAGGCTAGAATCAATCCCAATCCCAATCAATCCCTGGCACTGTGAGGCACTAGTGCTAACCACTGAGCTGCTTGCTACCCTTTGCTAATAATGTTAGTAATACAGTACCTGTACAATTTATTCCTAAACCCCAGAATTATCGTGGTTAATATGGGTAATAGATTATGATCACACACACCAAATAGCAAATGTGATCAAAATGAATCCCACCGATTCCCCCAAACATAAATAAAATGATGAATTGCCCAATCTCATTAAACTGCATAAGGCATCACAATTACTGACCTGCCTTGGAACTTCCTCTCAAGGACTGATCTGTCATTACCTGTGTCAACAACTGCACCTGTTTTGGTTAATCACCCTCCTCTGCCGGGTAAATCCTGAAACTGTACAATGCACTCATTCATGAAGTTAACACCAGTTCTTCTTCAACACAGCTTCACCAAGTTAGAACTATTCCCGGATTTCTCCCTGAGCTCCAATCTTGCACAGTGAAGTCCAGCAAATATTGCTTGTTAGCTTGATATCACCTCTCTCAGCTTACTGAAGTATTAATACTTGCAGGCATCTAGAGAGCCCCTCGTGTCTTCTGCCACATGGAGACTTTCCCATTTTCTCCGCTCCGCATACTTTTTCTGAATCCTGGCTCCAACATTTTAGCTATTACTAATTCCTAGAACTTCCTCCTGAGTTCTGGCAGCTACTCTTGACTCCTAACTAAGTCACCTACACCAAATCCACACAGTTCAGGCATAGTCCGCTGTAACGCTCCTAACATGGAGTCTGTCTCTGTCTTTCATCCTCATGCACTGGCTTCCCCTCTAAATGACTGTTTCTCCAACTTTCTGCATGGTTTTACTTTCACTTCAGTCACCCTTGAACCATTCTGGGTGACCTAGTGAAAACTTTGCAATAAGCCCTACTCCTATTACAGGGCAGAATTGGATGTGTAACCACCTAGCGTCTCTTGGGACTGAGTGTGCTCTGAATGTTACTATTCACAGATTGCTGGCTTCTGAACACAAACAATACTTGCGAAAGAAAGGATTCAAGGGGCATGGAGAGGGTGAATAGCCGATGTCTTTTTCCAAGGGTAGGGGAGTCCAAAACTAGAGGCATAGGTTTCGGGTGAGAGGGGAAAGATATTAAAGGAACCCGAGGGGTGATCTTTTCACGCAGAGGGTGGTGCGTGTATGGAATGAGCTGCCAGAAGAACTGGTGGAGGCTGGTACAATTACAACATTTAAAAGGCATCTGGATGGGTATATGAAAAGGAAAGGTTATAGGCCAAATGTTGGCAAATAGGACTAGATTTATTTAGGATATCTGATTGGCAGGGACGATTTGGACCAAAGGGTCTGCTTCTATGCTGTACAACTCTGATTCTATGATTCATCAAATGCCACAGGTTGAGGACATCATGACTGCAGCTGGGACACCAGGTATGCATCACTTGCTGCCTATGGTCACACGGCAGCTGGATGTTGAGGAAGTGGAATCTCTCTCCCAGTTTCATTTCAGGGCAGAGTAAACATGGAACACTCGGAACAAAAAGTGCACCTATTCATTGACATCTTGGACCATAGGGCTGCTGACATACCTAGAGAAACCGCATTGTGTTCAACTGTTTCTCTCCAAGGAGAGAGAATAAGATGTAGCTAGCTCTCAATGAATGAACAGCATCAAAGGTCTTCCTTTCTTGACAGTGGATGTCAAGCTCTTACATGTTGTGCCACAAACTGATGGAGCTGCAAGTCAATGCCCTGTATCGATCCTAAAACGTTGTGCTACATATTGGAGAAAGTAGTCCAGCATTTTACGTTTAGCATACACAACATCTTCCTGGCACTCACCTTGCCAAGCTGCTGACGGAGTAAAGACCTAGTCTTCATAATTTCTGCTCATTGGTCAATTCCCTTATTTGAATTGGTCTAATGAGTTTTTTCTCCACTACCTTTTATGCTCTATCATAGAATCGTTACAGTGTGGAAACAGGCCATTTGGCCCAACAAGTCCACACTGACTCTCCGAACAGCATCCTATCCAGACTCACCACCACCCCCCCCCCCCCCCCCCGCCATCCCTGCAACCCCCACAGCTAATCCACCTAACCTACACATCTCCAGACACTATAGGTGATTTAGCATGGCCAATCCACATAGCCTGCGCAACTTTGGACTGTGGGAGGAAACCCACATAGACATGGGGAGAATGTGCAAATTCCACACAGACAGTTGCCCGAGGCTATACCGGACCCGGCTCCCTGGCACTTTGAGGCCGCAGTGCTGACCACTGAGCCACCGTGTCACCCCAGTATCATAATGATGGAGCAGGCTTGAAGGGCTGAATGGCGTAAATTCTCCTCCTCCTATTTTGTATGTTTCTATGTTCCTTTCTGTTTTCAAAACCCTGGAATATAGGCCACCAGGGAAGTGATTTTGTAAACTAAATTCTGTTAATTTCTCCAACGCTATTTCTTTTTAATGCCAATCTTCATAACTTCACCTCCTCACTAGACACTAATTCCTCACTACTTGTGGATTTTGTTCAGTGTTCCATTCTAATCATGAAAGCCAAGTGGTGAAGAATAGGGCTAGAGCTAACTTTTGTACACCTTCACGAGCATTAATTTACAGAAATTCACAAGCAACTCATAATCCATCAATCAGTCCATTCCTCATTACATGTAACACAAATCCTCAACTAATTTCCACCATCTACCTGCAATTTATTCACAATTAACAAATAGAATTCTTCATATACTACGTCAAAAAAAGCCCAAGTGTTTTTAACAATCTGATTTGCTTTCTCAGTTTCTCAATATAAAGGACAGCATGGGCGGTCATAGTAGTTAGCACTGCTGCCTAACAGTGTCAGGGACCTGGGTTTGACCCCTATGTTGGGTGACTGTATGGAGTTTGCACACTATCCCTGTGTTGTGTGGGTTTCGGCCGAGTGCTCTGGTTTCCTGCCAAAGTCCCAAGCATCACTAAAAATCACCATTCTTTTGGTCACGTAAGAATTCAAGCT